ATTCGATCATATGTTACAAAATTCATGTATCCATCAAATCCACAATTTAATAGATTATAATGGAAGTCCTCGTTTGATCGATATCACATTTTCAACAAATACGTTTCCCGAAATAATTTACTCTAATGTGTATTCTCCTATTAACACATGACTGAACAGTTGTTTATATGGTACTTTTACTGTTATGAATATGCAACTTAATTGTTTATTTGTTAGTTTTAATTGTTTTTATTTTTTTATTCCATGACATGTTATTGTAATAATAATTTTGTCTACTGGATTTGATTTCTTGCAGAAATTCAATTCATTTCTGTTTGACCTGATAACAGCCAGTAGTTTGAAATATTGTATCTAATTCTTGACCACGATTCGGAAATCAGATATAGTTTGGAATAAACAATTTTATTCCCAGAGTAAGTACAATTGATTTTAGCTAAGGCCATACCTAGCGTTCGTGATAATCGGCAAGTAATATTTCTACGTTGGTCTGGGAAGATGACCACATGACCCTCATTCGAAAATCTGTTTTGCGTCTTAACTTGCTGTATATCACCCTTTTATAATAAGTAGCGATCTGTGTTTTAAACCTTTGAAATTCACAGGTAAATTTTGTTGTGACCAGTTTGAGTTGAGTTTTTCTTTTTTGGAATTATTAATTTATTTACCCTGGAAGGTACTAGTGCTTATCAGGATTCTTGGACAGAGACATTTATCGAAATTTATTTATAAAATTCTAAACTGGAATATTATTTGTTTATGATTCAAAAAACTGTTTACACGACAGTACCGTGAAGGTTACGGCATGGGTCATCGCCTTCAATCTTTGAATTTTATCGGGATTTAAACTGATTCATTTAGGATTTAAAATTGAAAGGATTTATGTTGTTTAATACTTGGATTACGTTTGGATTTTATTCGTAAACCGTAAGTCCTTTTTATTATTTTACCTTGTTTTTCTAGGGAATAAATTATTTTGTTAACTTTTATAAAGTTTGTTGTCTTGACTCTTTCCTTGATACTTTTGTACAAGCCTAAGCCAGAAAATCGGTTGCTCGTCTTTGGGATATATGAATTTTGGCAAAAATATTTCAGAAAATTATTTTCTGAAATTTAAATCCTCATAGTTTTCAGACTTTTTTTAAATCCAAAGTATTATTTCAAATTTTATTTTAAATCTTTAGTGAAATCAACAGGCATTTTTATAATGTCATCAAAAATGGAGATTTTTCTTTCAAATCGTATTCAAGAGCAGTTGAACTGTTTGAAACATTTATGAATTGCTTGAATTTGCTAGAAAATATGATCTTTCAAAGGCAAAAGCTTCTTTAATGAAGCAAAGATTAAAAAAAAAAGATTTAAAAAAAACATTTTGCTCCAATATATGGTAGATAAGCATGTTTAGGATAAACGTTTTGGTTTAGATTGGTAATTCTGTATCAGACTGATATAAAATTAAAGGAATTAAAATTAAAATACAAGATGGAATCAGAGTTAAGAAAACTTGAACTTCAGAAAGATACAGAAGGAAAACAATTGCAGATAGAATTGGAGAAAACAAAAGAAATACAGATTTACAGTTACCACCTCTTGCAATGTCATCTTCTTAGTATGTTTTGAAGCTAGTTTTTATATAATGTTGAATGGCGCGAATGACAAACGCTTCATTTTATGTGTCTCAAGTACGGACGGAAAGCATCCCCTCATACCAACTAACACTATAATCTACCAAACAATCCACAGGGATGAGAATGGTTACCTAAAATAATCTTTACGCAAAACAACACAAATTCTAACAAAACCACTATGCTTTTTATCAATACATAGTTGGAAAAAGAAAGTTTTTTATATACAAAACACACCATTACCTAAAATCACATCAGCAAAGGTGTTAGTGTTTATGGTCACACTACTACACCTTCACATAACACTTTCATGTATGTAGGGACAATGGGTTTGTTAAGGGAAAGACACACACACACCACCTACAAACGTACGTGTGCACACAGTCACATGCAGAAACAAATACACATACGCATGCACACAAAGACATACACACACACATTTTTACAACTTGATTAGTATCTCTCTCTCTCTCTCTCTCTCTCTCTCTCTCTCTCTCTCTCTCTCTCTCTCTCTCTCTCTCTCTCTCTCTCTCTCGATCTGGTTATGAAAAGAGCTGTTTTTTAAAACTCCAAATACATCCTGGTTAACGCTGGCACCTGCCAGGCCTGTCACCATAGGCAACGGCAGCTACAATTATTTTTCTAGTTGATTTTTCTTGTTGGGAACGTAGATGGAGTGGCTTCACTTTCCAATTCCTCTGTTTAAGGGATACTGTAGACTTGTTCCCTCTGTCTTCTACGCCAGACCTTTGGATGCTGTGGTTGTCGTGGCTCTCTCGGTATTTCCAAATCGTCCTCCCAGCTTTCTGTCTGGGAGACAGGGACTCTTGGTACTGATGGTTGTGGCTGTGGTTGGCGTGATGGTGGTGGTAATGGTTATAGAGGTGTCATCACCATGGGCTTGACGACGCCGACCTATTTTATCATCAGTTGTAGTAGGATGTCTTTTCCTTCTTTTCTTTTTTCCTCCTTCTCTTCTATCTTTGCACATTCCTGGATTGCCACCCTGGCTAGTTTGTCCAGGATGCGCCTTGCATACTCCAGGTGCATTTGAAGTTCAAGCAATCTGGTGATTCTACTTATATTAATGAGTGAACGTTGGGTAGCCAGACTGACGAACGCATCTAATTAAATTTCTGAAAGAAGTTTAAGCAATCTGGTGATTCTACTTATGTTAATGAGTGAATGTTGGGTAGTCAGACTGACGAACGAGTCTAATTAAATGTCTGAAGCACAGACATGAAGGAAAACACTCTCTTAGACTAAAACTGACAATTGAATTGAATTGGATTGGAATTTGAATTATACTGGCGAGCACCCATAATGGGGATGTGCCATTGTTTAATGCCTGCAAGACAGGCTATTAAATACTCCTGGGGAGGGAATCGAGAGTAGCCTCTTCCAGACTTTAATGCACTCAAGTAGTTCTGTTGAATAAGCCGTCTGGTATTGAATCTTTGTGTTCTATATTACCTGAATGTTAGGCTTGACACGAGTGGTATGAAGCCCAACACGCACTAATGGTTCAGCATTATGGCCAGTCCGCATTTAGTGAGTGGGACTTTTGTACGCACACTCTTGTTTGGTGACTTTGAGTGGCTGAAAAAAGGGAGGAAAAGGAATATGGAGCGGGTCCGGGACCGCAGATGATACTCCCAGCGTCCTGCAGGAATTGAATAGGCAAGTATTTAATGTCGGAGGATGGTTTTATTATTTTTAATAATACTTTGTGCTTTTTGGAGAAGGTCTTCTTAGCGAGATACCTTGTATGACAGCCCGTGTGGCATTTTTTAATTGCCACCTTGTGTGACTGGCCCTGATGGTCCTAGGCTTAGACCACCTTGAATGCTATTAATTGTTTGGAGAGTAAGCCACCTTGTGTGACGGGACCTGATGGCCATTGTTGTTTTGACCACCTTACATAGTTCTATTTGGCCTATCAGGCTTTGGCTCGTGTGGTATGTTTTTGGACCGTGCCTATTCGTAAACTATTCATTTGCCACGTTGTGTGACGGGACCTGATGTCCATTGTCCCTTTCTACCACCTTATATAGTTATATTTGGTGTCTTAACTTTATTTCTTATGATGGCGGGCCCTGATGATCCTGGTATTCTGATCACCTTATGTCATCTTGGTATTGGGGGACCTTGATAGTGGTATGGCTGTCATCTATGGTGGTTATATAGGAGGAGTACAGTGTTAATAAGTGTTTTAATGGAGTTGAGGAAATATATAGTTGTGGAAAGAGATGGTTATTATATAGGTGCGAAAGATTAATGGGGTTAAAATAGATATGTGTAGGTCCCAATATTTTTTTTTTAAATGGGGAGTCTTTATTATTGATTTGTTGGATTTTAATTACTGTAGCAAATTCCTTAATGTAATTTGTATATTTGGGTGCAGTTATTGCTTTCCTGCTTGAGACAGGTGTCTTTACCGAAAACTCGGTTATCTAGATGAGTGGTCCGGTAAGCTGGTTCCCATTTGAATGTTAAAGTCTGGGATAACTACTGCTGCTGCCGTTCTGGGTGGGTCAGGTGTTTTTGACACATCAGTGTATATTTTGAAACAACTTGAATAGATGTCCTGTATATAAGATGCAATGATATTTTTCCGTTTAAGTTCATGTTCCAATTTGTTTTCGTAATCAGTAGTTTTTGTGTTAACTAACCATTCCCACTTCATCATCAGTATCATGGAACACACGGACCTAAAAGAGACATGTCTACTTTTTGCACCTACAAAGTTTTATGATCACTCCTACATATAAAAATACATTGTTGAAACTCAGAAAAACAAAGAGTTTATAAGCACACTTCTATTTTTTTATTTACACACAAGCGAGAAAAACAAAGTGTTTATAGGCACACTTACAGTTTTTAACCTACAAACACAAAGACGGACATATATTTCTTGATTGTTTGGGGTAGCCTTGAAAAGGACTATTTGTTGGTGGTTATGGAATCTCTTCTGTTAAGATTGCGTCCCCGACTGTCTTTAGACTTTCCACAGGACACTGTCTGCTACTACGGAAAGAGGATAAATATTTCTTGTCCACACGACACTCCACACAGTCTCTGTCTGTCTCCAGTTGTCGTTGCTGTTGCTGTTCTCTCTGCTGTTTCTGACGTATATACTTCTCAGCCCTTTCTTCTTGATCCTTCTTGATTTCGTCTTTAAACACCTCATATATCTTGCCTTGGGTTCCTTTCAGCATGCTGACATTTTTAGTCTCACCAGGCTTGGGTATAAGGTTTTTCCTGACATGATGTAAATTCACGTGTGTATGTGTTATCAGTACTAACACTAACCACTTAATGCTGAGCGACAGGCGAGCAGGCGAGGCAGCTGTCAGTACCATTTTTGTAAGTCTTTGGTATGACAGCTGGGGATCGAACCCACTACCCCTTGCATACGAGGCGGATGCTCTAACCACTAGGCCACCGGAATTTTATGCTCGTCAAGATAAGTCTTAATGTCACTATAGACACAGTTCTTAAACTATAAAAGTAATATAAGTTTTCTGAGACTTTCATAATCTTGGTCAATTTTCATGGCTAAGCGCCATCTATCAAGTAACTGCTTTTTTCTTGCAAATTTGACATGAGTTTGTCCAGCTCCTTCTGATAGTTCCTGAATGTTTGCCGATAAGTCTCAGGGACTAACTCATAACCGTTTAAGATGCATTCCTTAACCAAATCATAGTCAGTACTTTATGCACAATAAAACAGTACTGATTTGTACGAGAAAATATTTAAAAAATGCATTGTATGAAATATAGGATACATAAGTATATGCATCCCTCTCTATCTCTCTCTCTGTCTGTCTCTCTCTCTGTCTCTGTCTCTCTGTCTCTCTCTCTCTCTCTCTCTCTCTCTCTCTCTCTCTCTCTCTCTCAGACATGCCATTTTTCATTATTACAAATATTCTATAGCATCAAACTCATAAATAATATAATAATCATATTTAATTAAATTATTTAAACATTTGGCTCTCATTGTGGGGCTACTCATTGACTAGAATCAGAATGTAAAAAGACTAGTCCCAATCGTTGCTAGGCTGATCCCAGTATTGCAGTGCATTTTGGGCTTATCCCCACAAAAGTAGACTATGTACTAGGCTGAATCCCAGCTTACTAATGGATTATGGGCTGATCCTATCTTAGCTAAATGTATGCTAGGCTGATTCCCGCATAGAATGTATTCTGGGCTGATCCCTGATTTGTGGACTAGAGCTATGTGCTAGGCTGAATCCCAGCTTGCTTATATATTACAGGTTGATGCCATCCCAACTGAATATATGATAGGCCGAATTAAATATTGAAAATAAAATTTATTTAACGGGGATGAACTTTACGTTATTATTGTATCTTTATGAGTGTCCGATTGGAGAAAAATGACCCATGGTAGCCCCATGCGCTTGAACAATGTCAGGACCCAACTCACGAGGTATAAAAAAGAAATGGGTGGTGACGGGGGCGGTGGCGGATTTTAGCATAAATCCGTAAAATAATGTTTGATGCGGAGACTCTAAATCTGTAGTGCTGTGAGTGCAATGCAACTGTACGTTCATTCAATGTACCTATGAAACCAGAGAAGTGACTCGTCACATGGAAATATATTATCATGCAATGTTACGTAAGATTATTCAATGTGGATGGCTATTTGAATTATGTTGGTGATTCCAATCAATATGAATAGTTCTGCTCCTGCCACACATCAACAAGTACTCCTCTGACGAACCCCATGCAGACAGCAAGATTGTGGCTAATAATGGTCTCTTGCCTAATTCTCTGTCTGCCTCTCAGTTTCAAGGTACATGTACAACACGCCTATCTCATTGTTAGCCACTAACTTAGCCTTATAATTGACATTGTATTCTATTGCTACACCAATAATTCCTCCTTCAATTATCATTATCAGAGAACCCCCCTTGCACAGCCAGCAATATATGTATCTAGAATAACTCAAGATTATCAAGTTGTGCATAAACTAAAATTTAATAAATTATAATTTTGCTGAACTGACAGTGAATGGTAAATATCACTAGCGATACCAATAAGTGCACATTGTAGTAACTGAGTCCAGTACTCACTTGGCCGTTTCAAATTTTCAGTAACCTTTTGAAAACGAGGCAAATATTTGTCTACTTCTTTTCTCTGAAAGGGGACACTAACCTGATATTCACTATAATATTAACCTTAAATTTGTATGTGAAGTGGGAATGTGCTTTTCACTTGCCAGCTCTATTTCTTTTAACTTAACTTGAATTTCTTCCCTTTCTTTTTGTATTTGTATTTCTCTCTCTCTCTCTCTCTCTCTCTCTCTCTCTCTCTCTCTCTCTCTCTCTCTCTCTCTCTCTCTCTCTCTCTCTCTCTCTCTCTCTCTCTCTCTCTCCGATTGTAAATGTTTTTCTTTCTGTAACTGCACTTGTTCATTCTGTAATTGCATTTCTCTCTCTCTCGTTCTCTCTTTCTCAAATTGCAACTGCCTGTCTCTCTTTCTCAAATTTCATCTGCATTTGTTTCTCACTCTCTCATCCTTTTCAAATTGCAACTAGTTTTCTTCGTTCGGAAGTTGAAGTTTCCTTAATTCTAATTTCATCTTGTATTTTAATTTGAATTCCTTTTCTTTTATGTTGGGGGTCTGATATAAACTTGCTGATCTAAACCTAAACACTTTTATCCAAAACAATCTTTTCTACCAAATACTTGATTAAACTGTGTGTGGGAGGGTGTGTCTTGCTTCGTGAAGGAAGAATTTTGCCTCAGAAAGATCGTATTTTCTGGCAGGTTCAAGTAGTTCTTTTTTTTTTCTTCAAACAATCCAACTTCTACTAAGCCCGATTTAAAAGAAAGATCTCCACTTTTGATGACATTGTGAAAAAAACCTGTTGATTTCACGAAAGATTTCAAACAAAATGTGAAATAATACTTGGGATTTAAACTATTTTAAAAACATTTGAATTTATTTTTTTTTTAAAGTTTCGGAAATGTTTTAGCCAATATCTATATATCCCAAGGACGAGCGCCCAATTTGTTTTCGTTACATGTCTTGGTGCATACAAAAGTAACAAAGATAAGATCGAAGCCAACAAGCTTTGTAAGATTTAACATAGAAAAATAAGGTAAAAATTGAAAAAGGTTTAACGGTTTATAAATGAATTCCAAAAATAAACCCTGTAAATAAAAATATAATCCTATCACTAAAAAGTTCTAATTAAATCAATGTTTAAATCCTGATGAACATCCAAGTTAGAAGGAGATTACGTCTTCTATAACTTGTTTTGTGTTGTCGTATCAACAGATCCTTGTTAGATTACCAGGAATAATATTCCACTGTTAGTATTCCGAATATTTTCACTAAATCTTTCTCCAATAATTCTGATGAGGACAAGCATTTTCCAGGGTAAATAAATTATTAATTCCAAAAATAGATAATTTCAAATCAAACTGGCAAAAGCAAAGATACATTTCAGCCCAAAGGTATGAATTGCGACTGACCGAAAATCACTATGAAACGTCAGTTTTAACCCTTAACTGAAAGGAAAAATGGATTACCTAATAGGTCACGTAATCATTTCCTTTCAAACGACATAGTAACATTGTATGCCAGCTATCACCTCCGCCATGGACGAAATCGATTGTACTGAACAAATCTTACTTTAAGATTCAAAAATAAACAAAAATGAAAAAAGTTATTTACTACAGAGCTGAAACTGGCTACTAATCTAGGTTAGGAAAAGATATAAAGTTTCAAACTAGTGACTGTTTATCTGGTCAAAACGAACTGGAGTTACCGAAACAAATAAATCCAGTAAATAAAGTTACCATTACAATAACATGAAATGAAATAAAATAAAATAGAATATGAAACTAACTGGCAAGTAATTAAATTACGTATATGTAACTATACATACTGGCCACACTTTCAGTGATATAATACTTATCGCTGTTGCCAACAACCACAGCTGGAGTTCCGAAACCAGGAAGGAAAGGGAATCATACTGGATACGCCGCCTTAGAACATTGAAACCAAGCGGTCTAAACCAAGAAGACTAGAAAATGAAAACTATGCACTAGTAGAATTTAACATTTTCTAAATCTTCTTATCCTTCAATTTTTACTATAAGAATAACCGGTATAGAACCAAATATCCGGGATATAATCTGCGTTACATATGTACACAAAGTAAAAATAGATGTCGCTTTGGCTTGTAGACTTTTAGGGAATTATACAACGTTTTCAGTTTCCGCAGCTAGTCTATACAAGCTGGTTGTATTTATAGTTTTAGCACATGTGAAGATAGAAATGTAGAGGTTTACAAACGCAACGTTTTTGTGTTTATTTGTTTGTCGTAACTATGTTTTGTATTTGCCTTTGAAAAAGACTCATTAAGAGTCGAAAGCGCTTAGGCTATTTAGTTACTAGTTTCGTACTGTTCGTCGTCAGTTTATTGCATCTATTTTAATTAATCCCTGACAAACGTGATCCCTTGGTGGATCCAGTACGCTTGTAGCACAACGTTTTTATGTTTATTTGTTTGTTTTGTATATGCCTTTGTAAAAGACTTATTAAGAGTCGAAAGCGCTCATGCTAGTTAGTTACTAGTTTTGCACTGTTCGTCTTCAGTTTGTTGCATGCATATATATATATATATATATATATATATATATATATATATATATATATATATATATATATATATATATATATATATATATATAGATAGATAGATAGATAGATAGATAATGTGGTGACTTACAATTCAGAAAATGAAACCAATCCAGCAGTGGTAAGTAAATATTACATAATTTAATTTTTTACTTCCCAAACCCCCAAACAAAAGGGAAAAATAGAAAAAAATCTTACAAATTTTCAATTGCATGGATATGTCTATACCTGTTTTTCCAGTTGTAATTACGGGTTTCTTGTATATTTTCAGAGTAAAACTAAAACTTCATCATGTCTGATATCTATAACAGTTCCTTCAAGGCTTTTTATGGTCAAAAGTTATTAAAGTCAATTTCTAAGTTTAGAACTAAAAATAGTGACAGTTCCTCTAATTGTACAGTGTGGAAAAGTGGTTTAGACAAGGACGGGTATCCCATCCTTAAGAAAACGTTTAAATTGAAACGTTATAACTTGCGTGTTCAGAGATTACTCTATTATCTGGAAAGTCCATTAGAATGGTTGGATCCAAAATTTCATGTGAGTCATCTTTGCCACAACAAACAGTGTCTGAATCTGGAACATTTGTCATATGAACCTGCTGTTGTGAATTCTCAACGAAACACTTGTGTATCAGAAGGAAGGTGTTTTGGGCATAAGCCTTTCAGAAATTGTTTGCTGCAAGGTAAGATTGTTTGTGTTCTATGGCAGAGGAAATGTTTGTTTAAGAGTTTGTATGTTGTTACTATAGTTCGATCGCTTTTACTCACCCAATTTTAGC